TTGTTTTGTTTTGTTTTGTTTTTTTGCATTTTTCACAAGGTTCTTTTCCTCCTCTGAGATAGAGTGAACATGGTCACACAAGTAACGCTGAAACAGGGCAGAGGAGGTGTGTGGGCATCCGAGATCATTAAAACAGGATGACCCCTAACGATTTGTACAAAAACAAATGGCAATAAAAAACACAAACGAACTTTCCCTTTTAAAGTACTTTTATTAAGAAAAAAAGCAGGCCTTGGGAGTTTGGTTCTTTTTCCTCCACTGTTGCAAATTCCCCTTGAGGTTTTGCTGGGCAGTAGCTTTTCTAGAACTGCCCTGTGGAGGTTCTAGGCCTCAGTGTTCACCCAATCGCCATTTATTATTCTTGCTGGTGTAGGGGTTGAGTATTCCTTATCTTAAATGCTTGGGGCCAGATGTGTCTTAGATTATTTCTTTCTTTTGTTTTCTTTGGATTTTGAAATTTTTTACGTATTATAGGTAGTGAGCTATCTGGGGCTTGGGATCCCACTCAAATGTAAATGTTGAAACTCCTTTAGGTTCCTATGCACTTCATACATATAGGCTGAAGGTAAGTGTACACCATATTTTAAATAATTTTGTATATGAAACTCTTTTTGGACATGTTCCACAGGGGGATGTGAGCTTTGTAAAGATATAGAGCCATAGGAGAGGACTGGGAAGATCTTTATTCCCTCCAGGATGTGAAATAAGCTGTGCAACAGTGTTTCAACTTTAACTTGTCACATGGGGTCGGTGTAGAATTTTCCACTTACGTGTCATGTATACAACTCCAAAAGTTTCAGATTTTGGAGCATTTTATGTTTTGGATATTCGGATTAGGAATGCTCAAATAAGGGATGTAAATATATAGTTGATCTGTGAGCAGTACATGCTTGCATGTTGCAAATCTACTAATACACAGGTTTTTCTTCAATAAATACTATAAATGTATTTTCTCTTCCTTATGATGTTCTTTATCACATTTATTGTAATGTAGTATACAACACATATACTTATTTAGTCTTGGAGAATCAAAAGTTTCAAGTGGGGACCAGCAGTTAGCGTAATGGCTATGTTGCTGGACTCCCACGTAGTCAACCGTGGTTCGTGTCCCAGATCCGGTAGCTTAAACTCATGCCGGGCGCGTGTGCGTGCGTGCCCAAGATCCTGAGAGGAGAATGGAGGAGAAGGGATTGCGGCATGGCCATCCCCCCTGGGCGTGATTTCTCGCTTTCTGTCTCTCTTTCTCTTTCTGTCTGTCTGGCGAGCACACGCATCCTATAGCGAAAACCTCTCAAAAAAAAAAAAAGTTTCATGTGGATTTTTAGTCTCTGTGGTTCAAAGGTTGACAGACCATGTGTTTGAAAAGAATGAAGAATTGACAGGACGGACGCTCATGGAGTAGTCACGGTTATCAGCATAGACTTTTATATGAGAGAGTAAAAAGTTTCTTCACGGCTTATGGAGCTCTTAAGGCTTGTGTCACACAGTACCCCTGTGCTGTTCAAAGATTGCAGAGGTGTGTATGTACACACATATATGTACATACATGCATATGTACACATTTAGTAAAGCACGATATGAACATAAATTCTGTTTTATCAGTACTAGGCCCTAGAATCATGTTTTTTATGTGGACCAAACTAATTATGTGAGGGAATGATCCTTTTCTTTGGATATAAATCACGTCTGGAATTTTCTCGTTGTTGTACCTTCTATCAGCTGAGGTTTATGGACAACGGGAGGAAAACATATAAAAGTCTGTGCTCATAACGGTGACTACTCCACGAGCGTCCATCCTGTTAGCGTCCGTCCTGTTAATTCTTCATTCATTTGAAACACACGCTCTTTCAACCTTTGAACACAGAGATTAAAAATCCACATGAAACTTTTGACTCCCCAAGACCAAACAAGTATATGTATTGTATACTATATTATAATAAAGCAAGCTACATAAAATGTGATAAAGAACATCATAAGGAAGAAAAATACATTTATAGTATTAATTGAAGCAAAACCTGTGTCTTAGTAGATTTGCACCATGCAAACATATGGAAAGGAAAAAACGTGAGCAGAGATAATTATCTGACCCAGCTGTGGCAAGAGCTGAGAAAGAAAAGGCTGCTGCAGATTTGATGTGGCAGGAGAGAGAAGGAACTGAGCGTAGTCGACCGCAGTTCACGTCCTGGACCTGGTGGCCTAAACTCACGTCAGGTGCATGTGCATGTATGCCCAAGATCCTGAGAGGAGAATGGAGGAGAAGGGATTGCAGTATGCCCACCCTCTCTGGGGAGGTGATTTCTCACTTTCTGTCTCTGTCTTTTTGGTGAGTACACACACCCTATAGCAAAAACCTCTCAAAAAAACAAAAAAACAAACAAACAAAAGTAGCTATGAAAAATATGAATGCATTTTGTTTATGTTTATGCATATCTTGTTTAAGTGTTGTGGATAATTTCATTCTTTTCATAGAAAATATTAATTGATGAGTCTATTAATCTAACTTTTCAAAGAAAATCATGTGATTCATTTCATTAGTCAAAATGTATTTGTTGGGCTTCTGAATACAAGGGAGTGTTCCAGACATGGCATTAAGCAATACACAAGACAGACAAAAATCCTTTCTACCTGGACCTTACATTGTAAGGGCAAGAAACAATAAAAAAAACATGACCAAATAAATAAAGGAGAAAATATCTGGCAGTGAATATGTGTAAAGACAACAAAATAGTATAATAGCTAGAAATAGTGGCTACTTTAGGTACCTTTACTCAAAGGAATGGCTTATGACTGAGTGTTGCTAGGTGTTTCCCAGGATGATTTCTTGCCTTCCTTTTCAGACTAATGGGAACCCCAAGTTTGGCTAAGTCTATGGCCATTCAGAATAAAGACATTCCCAACTTCTCTTAAAGCTGGTAGAACTTTCTGACTAAGTCCGGCCCATGGGATACAAGAAATGATATGTGCGATGTGAAGAAAAGAAAACAAAGAAAAGAGTATGGCCTCCCCTTTACTTTAGCGTCTTCCTAATCACCTGGGAATGCAGGTGTATTCTGAGCTATCCTGGACACGAGAACTAGGAAAATAGCACATGATCATGGAGAAGCAACAGATCAGAGGATTCTGATCCCTGAGGTGCTGAGGGGGCAGAGCCCTTGTTATCAGCACAGATTTTTATATGAGAGAATACATTTCTTCATGGTTTATAAAGCCCTTTGGGCTCCATGCCACATATCCCTGGTTATGATCATTAAAAACAAATAGACTTTTAATGAACAGTCTTCTTTTGAATGTGAAAAAACATGATTGCATAAAACAGAAAGGGAGATTTGTGTGCTATGAAAACAGTGTCCAATTCATTTCAGCGCTCAAGACCACCTGCTTTCTTTTCTCATTACCCTGTGTTTAAGATCTCGGAGTTTAAGGCTCCTGTTCTGCTTGTTCTCTCACCTCCGATGTTCCCAGAGCAATTCCTCTAAACTTCCTATTGTTATCATACATGAGCACTTTAAGTAAGTAGATGCTCCAAATGCATAAAATTATTGTATTGCTTAATAAATACATATACATGCTGGTGGTTGTATATATCTTCTCTTAGGCCTTGTGATTGTTATTCACTGTGTATATTCTAAGGTAGATTTCAAGATTAAGCAACAAATGCTTAAACATGTACAAAAGTCTTACA